GCGTCGCGAACGCGAATTTCAGGATAGAATGGCTCAAAATCAACAAAATGCACAAGTCGATAATCGAATCGCGAATCTCGACCCAAATTTAAATCAAAATCCGCCTGCTGTACCAAACGCCGATCGTATCGCGGCCATCGGAAATCCGGTTGTCAATGCTATCGCTAATCCTGTAGATAATCATTATATTAATTCAAATTCAATCAAACTCCCCCAATTTAATTCAAATGACCCTGAGATGTGGTTCATACAGGTGGAATCGATCTTCGATAGAAATAGAATAATAACCGAGTGTGCAAAAGCACAACTCATTATAGCTCAGGTGGACGCCGATACACTTTCATGTGTAAGACATGTAGTCATGTCAGATCCCAAACCTGTAGATGCATATTCACATATAAAGATCGGAATAACCGCACATTACGCAACATCGCAAGAAACGCGGATTTTTCAGTTAATTCACGGAGATGTATTGTCCAGTGGAAAGCCCTCGCAAGTTCTGAGCCGTATCAGGTGTCTGAATGCGGGAAATTGTAGCGAGGACGTGTTGAAGACAGTTTTCCTATCGAAACTGCCACATCAACACCAACTCATGCTTGCTTCAAACACCGGGATGACCTTGAATCAGATGGCAGAACGTGCAGATAAAATGGCGGAGGTTGACAGAATCGCTAATGCAGCTAATGCTGTGACTTCCGGAGAAACAATCACACCCAAAGTTGACGAGATAAAAAGTTTGACTGAAGAAGTGGCGGCGTTGAAAACTAAATTAGAGGAAACGGAAAAACGAAAATCACGCGAGAATGAACGCAGAGGACGCGGAAATTACAATAATAATAATAATCGCGGTAGAAGTCGAGGACGCCCTTATTTTCGGTCGAATTCTTATCAAGGTCGTGGTCGCGGTGGAAGTTTTTATCGAGGTAACAGATCCGGAAGAGGTTTTAATCAGCGATACAATAATTTTTATCGAGGTCATTCGCGAAATAATTTTCGTAGTTCGAGTCCATACGATCGTTCTTCTCATCACTCTTGTCATCAACAATCGACAAATCAATCGTGCTGTTCTGGTCAGCAAAACGCAAATAACTCTTGTCAGGGAAACTGAATCGCCAGCATCGTGCCGAGGCGAGCGGTGTCGGCAAGAAATCCTGTCGTCTCCATATTCTCGATCGAAAAACAAAACGGACCTTTTTAATCGACACAGGTTCCGACCTATCAATTTTTCCCGTTGCTTATTTACAAGGACGAAAACCTACCGAAATGGTGCTTTATGCCGCAAACGATACCAAAATTGCCACTTTTGGCGTAAAACGTCTCGATTTGGACCTAGGTCTGAAAAGAGAGTTTTCCTGGAACTTTTGCGTAGCGGCAGTACCACGCCCTATTATAGGCGCTGATTTGCTCTCCCATTTCGAGTTAGTTGTTGATTTGCGAAATCGTAGACTAGTAGACCTGAAAACAAATTTTAGTAGTAACGGGGAATTGAAAAAACCTATATTGACTGGGATCAGTGCGATCGATGGTAACAATCCATACGGTAAAATTCTCCAAGAATTTCCCGAGGTCACTAATTTGGACCAGGAAACGACACTTTCTTCTGTTGGCGTTTATCATCGTATAAATACATTTGGCCCTCCTGTTGCACAACGCGCGCGTCGGTTACCGCTAAAACAATTAATGATCGCGAAAGAACAATTTCGACGCATGGTAAAAGATCGCATTTGCCGCCCTTCCGATTCCGATTGGGCAACTCCTATTCTAATGAAATTGAAAAAGGACGGAACCTGGCGCATTTGTGGCGATTATCGCCGAGTCAATGCCCAGACCGTTCCTGATCGTTATCCCATTCCTCACATACAAGATTTTTCATCAAATCTGTCCGGCAAAAAGATCTTCACGAAAATCGACCTACACAAGGCGTATCATCAAATACCTATTCATCCTAATGATATTTCTAAGACTGCAGTCATAACGCCTTTTGGGTTATTTGAATATCTGCAAACAACGTTTGGACTCCGCAATGCGGGCCAAACATTCCAGCGATATATTAATAAAGCTCTCGATGATCTTGATTACGTCTTTGTGTACATTGATGACATTTTAATAGCGTCGGAAAATTCCAAGCAACACGAGAAAGATCTTCGTGAGGTACTCGGTCGTCTTAAAGAATTCGGTTTGCGCGTTAATTTAACAAAATGCGAGTTCGGCAAGGAGGAAATAGAATTTTTGGGTTATACTATAAATCGTCACGGAATAAAACCAACTGAAGAAAAAGTTAAGGCAATTTTGGATTTTCCAAAGCCTAAAACTGTTTCTGATTTGCGTCGCTTTCTCGGAATGACAAACTTTTATCGTAGATGTCTAAAACACGCGGCTCATTCGCAAGCTCCATTGTTAGTCTTTCTCCATAATGCGAAAAAGCGCGATAAGAGAGTAATTCCGTGGGATTCTGAGTCCGAGAATGCATTTGAAAATATAAAAAGAGAATTGGCAAATGCAACTCTATTAGTACACCCGAAAGTTAACGCGGAGGTTCGACTTGTCACTGACGCCTCAGATATAGGTATCGGCGCAGTGTTCGAGCAACGTTGCGGGAAAATGTGGAAACCGTTAGCATTTTTCTCGCGCAAGTTGACGGATACCCAGAAAAGATATAGTGCATATGACAGGGAATTAACCGCTATCTTCCTTGCCATAATACACTTTAAACAAATTCTGGAACCCCATCAATTTAAAATTCTAACTGACCACAAGCCCCTTATCTATATGTTTTCCCAGAAAAAAGATAAGCTAAATATGCGTCAAGACCGTCAAATTTTATTTATTTCGCAATATACCACTAAAATTGAGCATATATCGGGCGAGAAAAACACCGTCGCGGATACTCTATCCCGAGTAGAGTCAATTTTAACCCCGATTTCATTTAATTTGGAAGATTTAGCTGAAGCTCAAGAAAAAGATAACGAACTTGCGAAATTAATGACGTGTAAAAAGACGGGATTAAAATTAAAGAAAATCGAGTTTGGTGCGAATTCTGTGCAAATAATTTGCGACACTTACGGTGATGTCTTTCGTCCATATGTTCCTCCTCTTTTGCGCAAACAAGTGTTTGACACTTTTCACAAACCCGCGCATCCAGGGATTAAAGCGACTAATAAACTCATACAAAAGAAATTCGTCTGGCTATCAATGCACAAAGACATGGCAAATTGGGCGAGAACTTGCGTAGACTGTCAGTCCTCAAAAGTCAATCGCCATACGCATATCAAACCCGCACATTTCACTGCACCCCAATCTCGATTTAAACATGTGCATATCGATATTGTGGGTCCGCTTCCAAATAGTGAAGGTTTCTCTTATCTCTTGACCATAATCGATAGGTTTTCTAGATGGCCAGAGGCCATCCCACTTTCGAACATAAGTGCTGAAACGGTAACAAGGGCTTTTTACGATAATTGGATTTCCAGATTTGGTGTGCCTGATGTTCTGACGTCAGACCAAGGAACTCAATTCGAGTCACGTTTAATGAAAAGCCTCCTTAAATTATTAGGTTGCCATAGGATTCGGACCACCGCATACCATCCCGCATCCAACGGTATGGTTGAGCGGTGGCACCGATCTCTAAAAGCTGCCCTTATGTGTCACGCAAGTCCGACGTGGACGCGTACGCTGTCGACAGTGATGCTAGGGTTGAGAACAAATGTGATGAGATGCGGTTCATCTGCAGCAGAGTATCTTTATGGAACCGCGCTCCAAATTCCCGGAGAATTCGTTTTACCACCTGACGAGTGCGAAGACAATAGCGAATATTTGACCGAGTTTAAACAGCACATGGCTACGGTAAAACCAGTCCCGGTCGTTCATAACGACAATCGAAAAGTTTTTGTCCATAAAAATCTCGAAAACTGTTCGCACGTTTTCCTCAAAGTAGGCGGAGCAAAAAGATCCCTCCAAAGACCATATACAGGCCCATTTAAAGTAACCAATCGCGTAAGCGATCGCGTTTTTGAAATCGAAATAAACGGTATTTTAAAGAAAGTCTCAATAGAAAATTTGAAACCGGCATATTTTTTGCCCGATCAAGAGTTAAATGAAAACGCAAAATCGAGTAAAACGAAACGAGCCCAATCGAAACCAGAAACTTCACGTAGCGAAAAGTCGAACGACAAAGAAAACGCGAAACGTAGTTCTCGGGAAGGCAAAGAAAAAGAGAAAAATTCGTCGCATCAAAATACAGATAGAAAGACAAATTTTTCCTCTAAAACAAAAATTTTGCCGTCGATTTTAAGAAAAAAATCAGCTCTTAAAGCACCAAAAGTAACATCAAAGAAAAAGGATATAATTTCGGTTCCTACTGTTGATGGTGAGCAACAATCGAGCGCGAACCGACAGAGGCCCAGACCTGCAAATTTGCGTCAAAATCCTAAAAAAGTTACTTTTCTTATTGACGGTTGCACTGAAAATCGGAATCAATGTAGATTCAATTAAAAAGCATGCGAGACTGATCAACTTGCATTTTAAGTATCTAATTTGAAAACCGAGTTTGAAATAAAAATAATAAATGCGCATTTAATTTTAATAAAAATAAACAATGACGTCAAAATTAATTATTAATCAAAAGGGCTGTAGCTAAGTATTCTTGCCAATGCCACGAAATGATTAAAATAATTTATCAGAATAAAAATCTATACATATATGTAAATAATATTATAAGATGCATCTAATTTATTATATATAGGAAAATACTGTGATATTTTTATATACCTATTTATTTTTATGACTTTACAATAATTGACAAAATAAAGAAAATAAGAAAATGACAAATTAATTTAAAATATTAATTAATTCACTTAAAATTTTAATACGACGTTGTCAATTTATGTGTAATTTTATTTATTATCCACGCCAAAAACAAAAATAATAAACATGTAAATATTTTTAAAAAAATATATCAATTTTATGTGTCCGCCGTATGCAGAATGAGTGCGATAGTTTCTTTTTAAAATAATTAAAGTAGAGTCTCATCATTTTCATCGCTATTTTAATGTTTATATTTTTCTTTTGTTTTTTTATATCGTTTACACTGGCGGGGGAGTGTGTGGGGGTATGCCTTGTGGAGTCCCCCTCTTCCCCCTCGTAGGTTGATAGCGCGTGAGTGCGTGAGAATTCGGGGAATTAAATAGAAGCTTATCGTCTGTCGTCCGAGCTGGTTGCGTGTGTCATGGCGGATACCTGTCTTATATATAATTGGTATTAATTAAATAAATATAATCAGTGGTGATAATTATAGTGTCTCATTATATCTGCCCTTCATATATGGAGTCTGTGTGATCCACTACTAGGATCCACACAAACATAAAACTGGTAAAAAAAATTTAATTCTTTTATGGATGGTCGATTTTTTTAATGCTTTCTTCTACCAAGAAAAATAATTTAATAATTTTGTAGGTTTATCTTAATGAGGATGTATCCATAAACTCAGAAATTTGGAACGCTATCAAAATACAGCGAAAAGAAAGCGTATTCGTAAAAGACTTGGTGGTAGCAATTTGGCGCGAAGGTCTTAAAGACAGATGTTTTACAGGACGGGCAAGAGCACGAAGTGCAGGACAAATTCGAAAATCATTCGAAGTAAATAAGCTTGCCGCCATATACCGTAAGTTTTTAAATTGTATAATCTACTATTGTTTTTAATAGTTGTTATTTTTTCTACATCAGATGTAGTAAAATTATTCTACATTTTTTACAAAAATGATTTTTTACAAAGAATGAGTGTTTTTTTTCATAAAAAATATGAGAATGTCGTTTTTTTGTCTTCGAGACATTAATTAATTAAGTAATAGAAGTTTTAAAGAAGTAAAACATTTTAGAAACAAATATATTTAACGTAATTCTGAACTCACCCATGGAAAGTTAATTAAATTCCGCATTCAACGAGCTTAAGATGGAATATTTTATTATATTAATTTAATTTTTTATTATTTTACAATGCCAAGTAATTGTTTATAAAAACTCTATTAATCAAAAATGTTTTCTTTTGCGCTCGTTGGTTGTGGAATTTCACGTACTTTCAATTGTTAAGTTTAGAATTACGGTAACGGTATTGTTTTTTGTAAAATATTTAATTTTTTCAACATTAATTATTTAATTAATGATTTAATATCTAGAAAACGATAAAAGGAATTTTCTAATTTTTGTATTGAGAATAGACATTAGAAACTTTATAAAAATAAATTTTTTAATTAAAAAAAATTGCCAATTTTGAAAAAAGTTTAAAATATTGTCAATTTTCAACAAAAATGTTAAATTTTGAATTTTTTGAAAAAATTTTACACCATTCGAAATAGCAAGAAGAAACTTTTCGGAAACATGTAGATCAACTTTTTTTTAACATCATTGTATAATAGTTGCAACTTAATAATTATTTAATTTTAGAAGATAAAACAAAAACTTTTGAACTATAAATTATCTCTATTTTTATAGAAGCTTTATTCGATCGCTTGGAGGAAAAAGGAAAACAGCCAGTGATAAGGGAATGTGAAGTTTTTGTTCACCGAAAATTGACAGAAAAAGTGAACGATCTAAACAAAGATAATTTGACGCCAGAAGAAATTATGGAGGCTAAAAGAAGAAGAGGAATCAGTAAGTACTATTTAAATTATCATAACTTGTGCAACTTTTTTAATTATATCATAAAATTTTCATTTTATCGAATTTTCTCTTGAACACAATTTTATATAACTTTTATATTTGATTTATCTTTCTTTTAACAAAACTGTAATTTTAAGCTTTTCATAATATTTTCATAGCTTAGTAATTATGTTACTTAGGGCGAAAAAGTAATTTTTTCAAAAATTAAATTTGTCTAAATTATTTAATGTGTTTTCTTATTTTTCAGATTTGCAAAATGGAAGAAATATTAAAATCTACTCAATTCAAAAATTTTTATATTCATACATTCTTGTAACTTATTTTTTTGAATAAAAATAATAAATAATTTCGAAAAGTGAACAATTTTATTTCACTGTTACGTTCATCAAATTATTACATACATAATTACTACCAAATAGTTCTCTTTTAAATAAAAAAGTAACGAAATGATAGTTTGTGGTCATATTCATAAATAAAACACTTAATAAACTGGCAGATGGAAAAAAGTAAACAAATTGCGCTCTTTTTAAATAATGGTTCTCAATTCATAAATATTTTAACTTCTTGAATTCCTATGAATTTTAATTAATTTTTCAAATTTTTTTTTATTTTTCTGAATTATAAATGTGTTAATCATTGAATATCGTCTAAAAGCTTTTGAGATCATATTTTTTTTAAATATAATTTTTACATATGTTAAACTTGAAAATTTTATTGTTTGATTCATTATTTATATTGATTTTAGAGTTAAAGTATTTTTTATAAGAAAATTAATAATTAAAAATAGAAAAATTTTGAATTTTATTTAATGTACAGACAAAAGTGTAATTTTATATAAATAATATAATAAACGAATAAATTATTTTGGTTAATAACATTGTAATTATCCTTTTGTGTAACTTTATTAAACAACATACCATTCACTACTTCCATGTTTCTGTATACTTTGACATCATTTTAACCCTTTCATGGCCAGTGGGACACATACGTCCCACCTACTTCAAAAAATGATAACTTTCGTAAAACTTAATCGATTAACTCCACTAAGATCTCATTTTGAAGGGGTGGGATAGAGTAACAAATGTAAATACATGTATTTTTTTAAAAAACTACCCTCTTTGAAATACACCCCTTCAAAAAACCCGAAAAATGAGAAAAGTGAAAAAACAGGTATAAATTTCAGAAGAAATTTTTTTTCAGGCTTTCATAGTAACATATGTTTAAAAATATTGCAACCTTTGTAAAAAAAATTAATATTAAAAATTCAACCCGAGGGTGCAGAAAAATAACTAAAACTACCCCTAAAAACCAAAACCTTTAAAAATTAATAAATTCGCTTGAAAATTGTTACTTGGTGGTTTTCGGGGTCGCTGATTACGAATCCGATGTCCGTTTTCAAAAATTCAAAATGGCGGATCCAAAATGGCGACCGATAATTATAAAAAATTACTAGATTCGCGTGAAACTTATCACTCGGGGGTTTTCGGGGTCGCTGATTACGAATCCGATGTCCGTTTTCAAAAATTCAAAATGGCGGATACAAAATGGCGACCGATAAATATAAAAATTCACTAGATTCATGTGAAACTTGTCACTTGGGTGGTTTTCGGGGTCGCTGATTACGAATCCGATATCAGATTTAGAAAATTGAAAATGTCGGATCCAATATGGCGGACGAAATGATTAACTTTCATTAGATTCATCTGAAACTTATTACTCAGGGGTTTTCGAGGTCGATAATTACGAATATGATGTCAGTTTTTAAAATTGCAAAATAATGCTGGTGTCATTATTGCCGATTAATTTTGTAGCTTTTAGTGCCTGTTGTTAGGAGTTTAGTATGAAAATGAAAATTACAGACCCAGGCTCAATCGGTGAGGTAGTGGGAGAACGCTACACAGAGAAAACGAAACGACGCGCTGATTGCCTTATAACAGCAGTTCCACATGGGAGCTTCTTTGCTACTGTCGTACCCCCCCTTTCATTTACCCAATGCACTCCCCTCTACGCCATCGTGGAGGGGAGTGCATTGAGTATGCACTCAATGCATTACTCAATATGATAATAATCAGTGAAAATTATTTTTTTGATTGTTGAAAACTGAATTCAGTATCTTATAACTTATGAATTAGGGGTGGATTTCAAGGGTAGGGGGTGAGTTTATTATTATTATCCATATCTGTGAAACATTGAAATACTTTTTTACAATTCAGAAGCACTTAGAATCCATATAATTTTTTTCATTTATTCACAAAAACATTTATCATTAAGGGGTGGTTATTTGACATAAGGGTTGTTTTTCAGGGGTTGTTTATATTCAGTATTAATACTTAGTTATCATAGAAAATTTTTTTTTTCATATTTTCGAAAATCAGTGAAAATTATTTTTTTGATTGTTCCAAACTGAGAATAGTTATGAATTAGGGGTGGGCTTCAAGGGTAGGGGGTAAGTTTATTATTATTATTATCTATGTCTGTGTAACTTTCAAATAATTGTTTATAATTTAGAAGCAATTAGAATCTATAGATTTTTTTTAATCATTTACAAAAACTTTCACCGTCAAGGGATGATTATTATTTGACTTTAAGGGTGTTTTCAAGGGGTTATTGATCCTTTTCAATTTTTAAGCAACCAGGCAATGTTTCTAAATAAATAAAAAGTAGATAAGAGCTGAAAATATTTAATTCATCAATTTGGTTAAATATCAGTTTTTTGGGGTAGTAATGTACCGTGGGGGTGGTTTTAAGGGGTGAGACATGTTAAAAAAAAATTTTTTCTCATACTGAATACTTTAGTAATTAAATCTAATATACATTATAAGTCTAAAGTAACGACAAAAAACTCGGCCATTAAAGGGTTAATATAAAATAAATAAAGGTTATGTAAATAAATAGGAAAAATTTAATATTTCTTTAAAAAACATGTGTAAATGTAAAACAATGTATAATGAAACATGATTAAATAAAACAAAACATATTTTTATTAATTATTTATTACTATAATTGAATTAGTAAAAAATTATAATATCTGTTTATTACTAAACTTTATGAGTAAAATTGTATATTTTAATAATTAAAATTCAATAACTAAAAAAATAATTAAAGATATACTTACCGTATAATGGATATATATTATTCTTAAAAATAATTATTAATGTCTTTTAAAAATGTATATGAATTACATGTGGGTACACATTAGAAGTTGATCATAAAAATTCTGCCATATAGCGAATAGCTAAGAAGGATATACGATCATATGTAGGTCCTTACAAGACATAGTTCACAACGGCAGGGACTCAGTTCAACCTTTTCCGATTCTTCAAAGACCGATTTTACGTGGTGGATTATACAAATGAATACTCTAAACGCAATCTTACTCTCACCTGACGGACTCTACACAGAGTTACTGTATAATATAATAAGTAAAAAGGGGTTAGATATTTGATTCTTCACAGACTGACTCTACACAGCAAAACTCTACAAAACTAAATAAATTACAAAGTTAGAATCCTACGCGAATTGACTCTACGCAGAGAAACTCTCCAAAGCTTGATACAATTTTTTTACTCTCTACTGACCGATTCTACACGAATGGATTCTTCGATCTTAAATAAAAATTTAAAATTTTATTTCAATTTCTTATCTCTCCACACATTGACTCTACATGAGTAAACTCTCCAAAACTTATTCCATTTTTTTACTCTCCGCTGACTGATTCTACACCAAAGGATTCTCCAATCTTCAATAAAAACTAAAAATTTTTTATTCATTTTTTATCTCTTCAAACATCGACTCTACACGAGTAAACTCTCCAAAACCCATTTCAATTTTTTTTACTCTCCACTGACTGATTCTACATGAAAGGATTCTCCAATATTGAATAAAACGAAAATTTTTTGATCCACTTTTTGTCTCTCCACAAATCGACTCTACACGAGTAAACTCTCCAAAACCTATTTAAATTTTTTTTTATCTCCACTGACTGATTGTACACGAAAGGATTCTCCAATCTTGAATAAAAACTATAAGTTTAAATTCCACTTTTATCTCTCCACAAATCGACTCTACATGAGTAAACTCTCCAAAATTTATTTCAATTTTTTCTCTCTCCATGGACTGATTCTACACGAAAGGATTCTCCAAACTTGAATAAAAATTTAAAGTTCTAGTTCCAACTTTTTATCTCTCCACAAATCGACTCTACACGAGTAAACTCTCCAAAATTTATTTCAATTTTTTTTACTATCCACTGACTGATTCTACCCGAAAGAATTCGCCAATTATAAATTAAAACTTACAGTTTCAGTTCCACTTTTTATCTCTTCATAAATCAACTCTTAACGAGTAAACTCTCCAAAACTTAATTCAATTTTTTTACTCTTCACTGACTGATTCTACACGGAAGGATTCTCCAATATTGAATAAAAACGAAAATTTTTTGATCCATTTTTTATCTCTTCAAACATCGATTCTAGACGAATAAACTCTCCAAAACCTATTTCATTTTTTTTATCTCCACTGACTGATTCTACATGAAAGGATTCTCGAATCATCAATAAAAACTTGAAGTTTTAGTTCCTCTTTTTATTAATCCATAAATCGACTCTACACAAGTAAACTCTCCAAAACTTAATCCATCTTTTTACTCTCCGCTGACTGATTCTACACCAAAGGATTCTCCAATCTTCAATAAAAACGAAAATTTTTTGATTCATTTTTTATCTCTTCAAACATCGACTCTACACGAGTAAACTCTCCAAAACCAATTTCAATTTTTTTTTACTCTCCACTGACTGATTCTATATGAAAGGATTCTTCAATCTTGAATAAAAACGAAAATTTTTTGATTTATTTTTTATCTCTTCAAACATCGATTCTAGACGAATGAACTCTCCAAAACCTATTTCAATTTTTTTTTATCTCCACTGACTGATTGTACACGAAAGGATTTGCCAATCTTGAGAATTAA